ACCGCTTCACGGTTGAAACACGAATGGGACAGAGGTGTCCAAACAAACGACTTTTGTACAAAGTCTTCTTTTGGTAAAGGTATATTACACTGGCTGTTAACTGTCCAAAAGCTTTTCCCTATTGGGGGATTTTGCTAATAGTTGCCACACTTGGCAACCAGATTGGCAACCGCAATTAGGTTTTGGTAATATTTAAAGTGAGACGCTGCCGTCTATATTTCGACCATTAAGTTCCCTTAGTCGCGTCTTATGATGCCCATGGGAAAGTTATTATAAATCCTATACCAAATCGACTTGGAAAAGTGATAATAATAGACTATATAGTAGTAGGTACTCCTCTTATGTGGAGAGACCAATGCTTAGTATGCCCAGTAGTGGGACATCGTGAATGGTTAGGTATGGATTGAAACTGACAATCTAGTAACATTTTAAGAATTGGTTTCATAAAAGAAATTACTTCAATCGTGAGAAACCAGTATATACTCGTATTTGATATATATATTTGATTTAAAAACTAAACTCCTGAATCGATTTCGATAAAGTTTTTATTAGACCAATCTGAAATAATGGGCGGAAAGGGATTGTTAGTAATGGAGACTGAGAATCCCATTGCTAGCAATATAACCAGGTCGACCTCCTCACGGTTCTCCCTGGAAACTATCATGGTTAATTCCTGATGAATTCATCATGATGTGCTAACTGGCTTGTTTTCATTCTCATTTATCACCCCTCACTGGTGCTCCGCCAGCGTATCCCGTTAGCGCAGGCGGGGTTACCATACCATATTCACCCAAAAAAAAAAAACAAAAAATCTGAAGTAATGAACTGATATCGTATCAAATAAATATAGACTTAATACAAAATAAATGACGGAGCTTTGAATTAACAAACAAACAAAATTTAACCAAACTGAAAACCTTTTTTTATGAAGTCGGTTAAAAATTATTCGACTCACAGTCGATGCCTGGTATATCTAATATTACATCTACTAATGCTAATGTGTAGAAATCAAGTATTTTTTTCTGAAGCAACAACCCTGAGTCCTGCCGACGACGCGTCCCTTATGTTAATGTTAGCTACAGTCACGCTACGACGTAACCGACGCGACGCTCGGACTCGCTCGATACGCTGACCGTAGGCCCTACCACGGGCTACGTACTCACTCGATACTCATAACTTTCTCGTTTGTGCAGGTCGGTCAACTTTTACCCTTTTATCAAGGGAGATTAATGTGTTTTGGTAGTCTATATGTAGTAGTCCTTATTCATATAAACTAAAAGTTCCTACCCGTCACGTGTGGTCCCGGCATAGAATAGGCCACCCTTTCCTTTCCCAAGGGTGTCGTAAGACGCGACTAAGAGAGGGCAAGCGATGAGCAGCAGCATCCTTCTTATAACAACTCCAAAGCCTAACTGCGGCAACTAACCCGTCTGCCAAGTGTGGCAATTACTGGCAAAACCCTCCGGCTTATGTTCAGAAGTGGACAGATAAAAGCTAATATGATGATGATGATGATGAAAACTTCCTACAAACCTAGTTAAGCTATTGAAGTATTTGTCAATTTGTTTCTAATTAAGAATTCGGTGCAGAAAAAGGCAAAATGGTTCAATAGCTCAAATAGGTTTATGAGTTTTGACGTTTTTACTAATAAGAGGGTTAGTCTATAGAGTTTAAAGGATTTTTACAAATGGATTTACGTTTGAACGTTACGGTTCTTTTTACTTGTATAATGGCTGCAAACTGTCAATGATTCATTTTAAGAATTGGGCTGTTTGTTTCATTAGAATGTTTTAATACATAAAATTCCCGTGTCACGGCGTTCGTACACGTTAATCTCCGACATTGCTTAATAAATTCTAATTAATTTTATTAATAGTATGTCTGCTCCAAAATGAGAGAACAGGAGGATTATTAGTAATTCGAACTACCAGTCCCATTACTAGCAATATGCCGTGTCAGGTCGACCTCCACGTGGTCCCCCTGGAAATCATCGTGCTCAAGTCCAGGTGTATTCATCACGGTGGGCTAACTGACCTGCCTTTTCATTCTCAACTATCATCCCTCATTAGTGTCCCGCCAGCATATATTGTTAGCGCAGGCGGGTTTCATTATCATCCATAAAAAAAATTAGAGAACAGTTTTTATCCTGATAAGCAAAGAATTGATTCGGTAGGTGGAGGTAGTGAGCAAAAGAACATTTTTCGAATCAACTTATTTATTAATAGGTTTAATAAAGTAATTTTCTTTTTACATGGAAGTCGGTGTTTATTAAAAAAATATCTATTTAAATAACAAATAGACGTAACAAAGTTACAAAATACTCGTTTCAATAAGTAATATATAAAATATAAGTTTTCCAAACTTTTGACGGTCGACGCTACTCACAAAATAGGACGAAACTTTTTTACATGTTATCACACCGCATCAATATATATATATATATACGAGTATATATATATATATATATATATATATATATATATATATATATATATATATATACATTTTGATGTAGTTGTTTAATTTAACTGTCGAGTAAACATGATTTATTTGTTATTGGTTAACTGAAATGAAAGAATAATAACTTTTTCTCATAATACAAAAAAATTTCTCACTTTATTCTCGCGTCTATTTTTTAGTAAAGAAAATAATTCATGTAGTACTGTCTGTTTAGTGTTTGTTTTTCTTTAATTTATATGACTATAAAGTATTAGCAATTCCGAAATGTGGTGAAAATAATAAAAATTCTAAGTACGTTGTTAGTGAAACTTCAATAAACTGTTTGAACTTCAAACCGAATGTACTCATATACCTCTGCGAATTTTCTCGTTTTTTTTTTAAGCACTTTTAACCGACTTTAAAAACAAGGACGTTCTCGATTGGATTGTATTTTTTTATGTTTGTTACCTAATAGCTTCGTTAGTTGTAAACCGATTTGGAAGTATCATATAGAAATCCCATAGAAATATCGATATCGCTACAGTAGTTAAGTTTTAAAATAAAAATGACTGATTTAGCCATAATTTAAGTCTTTTTTTTTTAAATAAAATTTTAAATCGTCATTTTTCATGATTCTATCATAAACATCATTTATATCATGTAATTATGTGGAGTTATTACGTACTTAAAGTCAACATAAATAAAAAATACAGTTGAATTGATAACCTCCTTTTTCGAAGTCGGTTCAAAATGGACGTAATTACGAAAGTACATAAACAAAACTCCACTCTGTAGCTATGTAACAATGATACAGATCTTCAGTTCCCTTGTACCGTGTAATTTAAATATAATACTGTGTGAGGATCTTTACACATTATTATCAAGCGATTGTTTAACAAAGGAACGATTTTGTCGTGAAATAGAGAGAACACCTCGGGTTATTAGGCATGCGAACCGCATGAAATCTCAATGGTATTATGGTGAAAATGGATATCTCAGGGGAAACTGACTTTCCTTTCATTACGCACTGAGTATTGTGGTCGTATATTAAGTAGGAGTGAAATAGAAACTGGTTATTTGCAAAGGGAACACCATTTATGGTATTGTCATGTACACATTTGGGAATGTTTGCGTCATACATTTATGTTAAAAGCATCTGTAATTCACTGCTTTGTTTTAATATTTACTAATATAAAAAATCTTTAATGAAACGACGTCTGTACATTTTTTTATATGCAACGTAGAATGGCAAACAAGCTGACGGCCCTACCTCTTGAAAAGTGGTAACCGTCGCCTATATACATGAGCAGTACTATGGACATAACGGAGTATACTGTTTCGCCCATGATACCCCCCAAGCGTTGCCATTCCTGAGGACTCAGATGTTATTCCTCTGTACCCTGTAAATTCACGCCATATCCCACCCTTCAAACCGAAACACAGCCATGCAAATACAACTGCTTTACGGTAGATACACGAATAAGACAGAGGTGCCCAAGCAAAACGACTTGTGTACTAAGTCTTCCTCTGGTAAATGAAAGATATTAAAGAGAAATTAATGTAAAAGCTTGATGTGAAAACTTATGCTGAAACTTATGACGCGAAAGTAAGAGCAAGAGATGATTTTTACAATTTTTGTCTGTCTATTTGTCTGTATGTTTGCTCTAATATCACATACATCAAATTTGAGAAGGTTTTCAGAATAATGTCCCTGAATGTCTAACTTCAAAACTGGTGTATGTTTTACCATGATACGTCTTTAAAAAGGAGTCTATTTCATTGATTTTCCTATTTTGCAATACATGCATACGAAATAGCGGGAAAAAAGCTAGTCCAATATTATATATTTAGGCAAAAAACTAGTTATAAAATATCTTGTGGTAAATTTTTATATTTTAATAGTCTATTTGTAAATGTAATAAATTTCTTAGAAAACTGTTCGACTGTTTAACCGTAGATAATTGTGTAAAATCTAAAATATTTGCATTTATGTGTATGTGTATGTGTGTGTATATTGTGTATGTAAATTTACTAACATTAGTTTTAAGAATATTGTTACTAATAAATATTTAATGGACCAAAAATGTCCGAAATAAAAATTATATCATTATTATTAGTACATTATGTAGAAAGATATGTTTTGAAGACAAACTATGCCTTAGACTATTTATATAATTTATAAAAAAAAAATATTAATAAATATATTGAAATTATTGTGCCTTATAATTCGAAACTAAGTTTGTATTATATGCACTATGTAATTGGTAGACATATTGAAATACAGCCAGATCAATATAATGATATACTTATGAATATAAGTGTTTACATTGTGCGGGCATCGAACCTACGACCATTTGAGGGGCGGCAGTCAGTCGCTACGCTATCAAGGTCATCAATAAAATCATGGATGTAGTCCTTTATCGACTGTAACTATTAGCACACAAAAATACAAGATGTTCTTAATCACTGTCCCAATTTTTTCGCTACAATCAACTACGAAAATCGGATTAGTATATCAGTAACAGTTGAATGTAAAAATAAAAAAAAAGTGGGTCACTCACCCGCCATTGCTGTGCGTTGATTTATCCGACGCACTTCCGTCGGCCGGCTGGTGTAGCACCATCTTCTCAGTTCCTGGCGTTGACAAATTCGAACTTTGTACCTCCACCTCCGGTTCGCCCTTAACAAGGGTCTCGGTCATTTTTTCTATTTCCGTCGGCCCATTTTTCTTTTTTTCATTAACAACCACCACTATCGGTTCCACTTCTTTCTTGGGCTCCTTTTTTTCTTCAATTTCTTTAACTTTTGGATTCTCTATCGGCGTCATAATGCTGTCGACGATCTTACTGGCCTCTGAACGTATTTCGGCAGCCATTTTATCATTTTGTTTGACAACTTCATTTTTAATATCTGTTAATTTACTTGCAACCTCATCTTTAGTTTCTTTAATTTCCGTTTTTGTTTTATTGCCAACGTTTTTTAAAGTATTTTTTGTTTCAGGAGCGGCTTTGGGTGAAATAGCTAAGATATTTTCAGTGGATACTTCTGGCTCTTTTAGTATGTTCTCTATTTTTTGCCGCACCTTTTCTACTTGAGGATTATTGTAAGGTGGCTGCAAGAGTTTTAACTTTACATTCTCGTCAGCAAATATTGTCCTTTCAGGATTCTTAGTGGGTTTAATTGGTTTTTTCTCCTCAACTTTCTCAGATTTTTCTTTATCTAATTCTTTGACACTTTCCTTCTCATTTTCCGTTCTTTTTTCAATATTTTTTCCTTTTTCTTTACCATTATCTTTTTCTTTATCCTTTTCATTCTCCTTTTCTTTAGCTTTTTCGGGAACTTCTTTAATTTCCGAATTTGCACGCTCATCTTCTTTTTCTTCATCTTTTGGAGCTAATGACTCCTTTGAACTCAGCCTTTCAAAGATTCCTTTCTCCCTTGCCTTCTCCAATGCGGTTGGTAACTGATTGGTGACTGTAGTTACTACCTCTAAGGGTTGTGAGGTAATTGCCGCAGTAGTCATAGAAACGACACTTTTTTTTGTCAAAATTACTAACTCTCCTTTCTCATTAGTAATTTTGTCATATTGTGTTTCATTATCCTGTTTTGTTACTTCATCTCCACCTGTACAAGAATCAACGCTTTTTGTAACTTGTCCTTTTTCTTTCTTTTTGCTATCATCTTTGAGATCTTTGTCCTTTTTTGCTGATTTGATTGGTTTTCTTTCATCTTTTTTAGCACCAACTTCATTAATTTTATTCATGGATTGTGATTTTTCTGTTAAATCTTTTTTACTGTCTCTTTTTTTAAGTAAAGGAGGCTTTTCATATAAAGTCTTTGTACTTGGTGTTCTTGTTAAACTTTTCACGCTATTTGTTCTATTTATTGGCTTTTTAGGCTCCGGTTTATTGGTTACTATTGGTTTTTGAATTGATTTAGAACTTGGTGTTCGAGTAATAGGTTTACTTGGAGTTTTAGTTACTGATTTTGATGTTGAAGAAACTTTAGCGGCGGCTTTACGTTTGTCTGGACTAGGATCTCTACTAACTGCTCTGCTAGGCTGTCTAGAATTGAATCTAGACGTAGCAGGTGTATTACCAGCTGTTTTTATAGGTTTTCTTGCTACTGGAGAAGGCTTTGTGGGTGTTTTAGCAGACTTAGGTTTTAAATCTTCTATTGGGCTTTTGTTTGGAGTACCTACAATGGGAGATAATCGTTTGGAGTTAATAGCCTTATTCGCTGGTGGTGGGCCACCACGACCAGGGGAAATAGGAGGCTTTCCTCTAATATGAGCTGGTGCAATATTCAGAAATTGTGTACTCTTACTTATAGCTCTTTTATCATGTACTTGACTCCCAACTTTTATAGTTTCATGAATACTACTAGTACTGTTTGAAATAAATCTTTGATTTTTGTTGAGGCTATTTTCTGGAAGTCTCGATTTAGAATTATCTCGTCTCGATGGTGAAACAGAATTTTGGCGTTTGGGTATTTTAGAAGAATGTTTAGGTGAACCATCATTCGATTGGGGTTGTGACCTTGAAACAGATCGAATTCGAGATTTATGTGTTACAGGTTTTGGCATCCCATCATCTTGATTGATATATTCTTTGCTATTGGGAGGAATATTTTCAAAATGTAATATAGCTGAAGGAGAATTCGATCTGGACCGAAGGTTTATTTTGTTTGGAGAATTACTTCTGGATGTTGTACGTGAACACACAACACTTCTAATAGCATCACTTCTTGCATTCTTATCTAATAGTCCCATCTCTTTCAACAATGCTTCTTCTTCTTCCATTTTCTTTCTTTGTGCTTCAGCTTCATGTTTTTCTCTATTTAGTTCACTTAATTCCCTAATTTCTTCAATATTTTCTTTAAGAAAATTTCTGGGTGAATGTGGTCTGCTTAAAGTGTGTATAAGAGGTTGCAGTGTGGCTGCCTGGGCCATTTTGTCGATTTTAGATAAAGAGTTGGTTCTTCTTCTAGGAGGTGAGTTTGTTCGGGAATTGGCAGCTGATGTTTTTGGTGTGGTATGTCGAGATGTCTCTTCTCTGAATCCACGACCTAGTGAATCAGATTTAATTACATAATTAATAATATAGGCACAAATAATTAAAAGATGACAAATTTGAGTATTGATTAAGTTACTAGGGGATGGTTTTGTACATAAATTATTTACATGGTTACATACGTTTTGTTCAAGTTAAAATTGGGATATGGTAATGAAATTATAAGATACAGAGAGAATAGATATTATAAGATGCCTTCAGTTTTGTATACACGACTTTTCACTTAAAATTTGTTAAATTAACAAAATATGCTAATTTTTACCTTTAAAAGGTGACACCCTTCCAGGCCTTATTTCAACTGGCAGTGACCTAGGGCTGGAAGGACGAGAAGCGACCGGAGTTTCCGCTATAATAGCAAATGATGACTCTCGCTTTCTCTTCGATGTTGGCACCACTCTGTAACCAAGGAAAATTAAGGCTCGTTAAGTTATAATCTTAGATCCTTAGATCTCTTTGGAATATTTCGACTATTACGCCGATGGTATTATTAGCGAAGATCGTACTTTCTGTGGGGAGCTTATAGTGGAGAGATGGCCAACAGCGTCACTCTTACAACATCGCCAAAAGCCAAAATGTAGTTGCCAATCCGTCTGTCAAGCGTGGCAACTATTGGCAAAACCTCCCTTATTGGGGGTACTATGTCCAGTAGCGGACAATTCACTGTTGTTACGACAACAACATAGAACTTTCTGATTAGTAAGTAGTAATTAGAAGTAGTCATTCTTCGAGTGTTGGCAGTCACACACATATTAATTATGGCGGAATTAAACAAAATCATTTTAATCAAATACCAGTGATATGGACTTCCGCAAAATAACACCTAGCTCCTTATAAAACTCCTTTGAAATCGCACTTTACACAACCATTTAGGCTCAAGCATGTGAGGATGCTGTGTGGTCTCGGCATAAAATAGGCCAACTCTTCCTTTTCCGTGGATGTGGTAAGAAGCGACTGGGGAAGGGCGAGGGATAGGCAGCAGCGTCCCTCTAAAAACAACTCCAAAGTCAAACTGCGGTTACCAAACCGCCTGCCAAGCGTGGGAACTACTGGCAAAACCCCCCAAGGAGGAGGCTTATGTTCAACAGTGGACAGTTAAAGGATGGTATGATGATGATGATGTGAAAATGAATTCTCTAATAGGGGGAGGCCTGTATTTAGCAGTGGACAGTTAAGGTAACCCAAAGAGGGTTGACGTCAGGCAGGTGGCCGGTCGTAACAAAAAAAAAACAAATCTTTTTGTAATATGGATAAAATCATATTACGCCGACCCCAAATGATTGGGATAAGGGTAGGAAGATGATGATGATGATGAGGTAAGGTACCTTTTGTTGAACATTTGCACATTTCATTATTAAACTATTTAACGATTTTCCTTTAAATCAACTAACAATAAACTGATCTGATATTAAAATTCATGTCGGTAGAAGTAACTGACGCTTTACACGTGTTTTTCCCATGGTATTGATGGCGTAACAAACGTAACAATCATGTTTTTGGCTGTAATACACCACGTGGGGTGCGTTGTTAATGATTAACGTGGAGTGAGTTGCGTTTTTTACAAAGACTTGATTATGGACGGAAAATGGAAGTGAAATGGGAATTGGCAAATGCGTTTGATTGATAGACTGTTTCCAGGATCCGTGTTTTGAATAGGAAATACACTGTCTAGTAAGTTTATTGTTTTTTAAGCGACTTCCGGAAGATGTAGCTTCTCAATTTATATGATTTTTTTTTTATCACTTTGTTACGTGATTATGTTAGCGATTCTAAACTTATTTTTGCAAGTGCTAAAGAAAACAGTTTCATATTTTGATTTTCACATATGTTTTTGTATTATTATGTTATTATGAACTAGGTATCTGCCCTGGCTTCGCACAGATTCCTACTAATTTTGAAAATCTCCTTTTTTATCTTAGTCACTCGCTTATTTTAGGTAGGTAAATGGAGATTTACTAAAGTAATTTTTTTTACTTTTCAGTACAATTTCTTTAATAATTTTCTATCATACATGTCTTGTCCTGATATTTAAAAACACAACTAAAAAAAAATTAACTAAATATGTGCAGTCATTCTGAAGTTAAGCGTTTATGTACATTCGCCAAATGACTTTAATTGGGAGAAACGAATTGTTAGTAATGAGGATTATATACGTCATTAGGTATTGCTGACAATATACGTCGATAGATCGACCTCCATGAGGTCCCTCTTGGAAACCATCGTGGTTAATTAATCACGATGGGCCAACTAGCCTCTTTGATCTCTCACTAGAGCCTTGTTAATGTAAATCGATAGCATAGTTGGAGTTATCATCCTGTGTTCATGTATTAAAAATAATTAATTTTTATTTATATTAATTGATTGTCCAAGTACTTAATTATTTTAACTGTCTTCATCGTCATCATTCCAGCCATTATCGGTTCACTGCGGACATAGACCTCCCCCATAGACTGCCATAAGGAGCGGTCCTGAGCCACCTGCATTCACGTGTTTAAGCGTCTTATTTATTATTGTTATATAGCTTGAACCCTTCGACTCAGTGCAATGACGAGCTATGAGAATTATCGATGATCCCAGGCTTGCAAGCGGTATCGAACCCTTAAGTCTTAGGAGAGATTTTGCCTCACTCTACGTGTTCTACCGCTTATACAACGGATTGTGCTCAGAGGAATTGTTCAATATGATGCCTGCGGCCACTTTCTATCATCGTACGGCTCGCCATCGACAGGGAGTTCACCTTACAGCCTAAATGGTCGCATACAACGCGGTTTCAGAGATGCTTCCTCCCACGAACACTCAGGTTATGGAATGAGCTCCCTGGCGAGGTTTTCCCAAGAGACTACAGCATGGGGTTCTTCAAAAGGGGGGTAAAGAGGTTTCTTCAGGGTCGGCAACGCGCGCGTAATACCTCTGGTATTGCCGGCGTTTATAGGCTACGTTAACCACTTACCATCAGGTGGGCCGTATGCTTGTTTTCCACCTCAGTGATATAAAAAAAATATTATTTATTATTTAATTTACAATTATATACCTTTAATGTAATTAACTAAAGTTAATAATTGTTTGCTTTTTTTATTTACATCGCTTACAACTAACTTGTGAAGCGTATAATGGTTTTATATAAAAAAGCCTCGCCTTCGAATTAATTCAACGAATTACGTGGAAAACCAAGTGTTTTTTGCCATTGTAAATGGTGATTACTGGCGGATATTACCATACATTACGCTAATTTCTTTCTTTTATACAATGTCCTCTGTTTTATGTTTTTTTTTTAATGAATGATAATGGAATGGTAATCCCGCCTTTGCTAACGGTATACGCCGACAAGACACCAGTTAGAGATGATAGGTGAGAATGTAAAGGCAGGTCAGTTAGTCCATCGTGATGAATACACTTGGGATTCAGCGCGATGGTTTCCAGGGGAGACCATGTGAAGGTCGACCTGATAGATACTCTTTATTGTTTGAGTGGGTCTGGTAGTCCGCATTACTAACAATCTCTTCCTCTCCTCTTATGTTTTTTTTTAATAGATGATAATAGCATAGTGGCCTCGTCAGCGCTAACGGTGTACGCTGGCGGAGCAACAGTAAAGAATGATAAGCGAGAATGAAAAGGCAGGTCAGGTAGCCCATTGTGATGAATACACCTGGTATTTTTTTTTGATTGGTGAAAATGGTATGGTAACCCCGCCTGCGCTAACGGTATACGCTGGCAGAGCACCAGTGAAGGGTGATAGATGAGAATGAAAACAGGCCAGTTAGCCCATCGTGATGAATTTATTAGAAATTAACCATGATAGTTTCCAGGGAGAACCGCGAGAAGGTCGACCTGGTTGGGTATATAGAAAGGGTTTATCAATAGTTGCCACGTTTGGCAGGCGGATTGATAGCCTTAGTAATGTTTTAAGAAAGATATTGCTGCTCATACTTCTAGCATTAAGCTCCCTTAGTTGCCTCCTACGACACCCACAGGAAAGGAAGGGGTGATCCATTCTATGTCGGAACCAAACGAATTATTTAGAATATTAGTGTATAGAATATTAGACTTTATCGCTAAGAGGGAGACTTTGTACAAAAGTCGATTGCTTGGGTACTTCTGTCCCATTCGTGTTTCTACCGTGAAGCAGTTGTGACACACATTTTTAAGCGCGTAATCCCCTTGCAGAATTAAATTCGTATATTTTTCTTAGCCGGGATATATATCTGATATATATCGGATATATATATATATATATATATATCAAAAAATCGGATTTTTTTGAACTCTGAGATATATATATATATATATATATATATATATATATATATAATGCGCCGTGTGGCTACCCCTTTCTTTCCTGTGTTTGTCGTAAAAGTCGACTAAGGGAGGGCGATCGATGGACAGCAGCGTTCCTCTTAAAACATTTCTAAAGCCTCACTGCGGTTGCCAATCCGCCTGCCAAGCGTAGCAACTACTGGCAAAACCCCCCAAGGGTAAGGCTTATGTTCAGCAGTGGACAGTTAAAAGCTGATATGATGACTACGACGGACAAAAAAGTACGGCGCAGACTGTCCTCGCTTGCGTACACCTTAATCTTGATTGCTAGTAACAATCTCGATAACGAGTCCTCAGACTATTTCGTGTCCTTCATTCCGCTTCATACGGATATCCGGCAAATCAAAGCGTCACTGAAACGGCCTTCGCCAGTTTGAGACCTGTCGATTGCGGGGCCTACCCGGCGCTTTGTTGCTGTCGACTGTCGATACTATAATTATTTATTTATATTATTATAGAAACTACTTATTTATTTTATTTATATTATATGTATTTTAATTTTTTTTTAATTAATTATTAAGTAGGTTTTAATGATGTTGGTATTACTAATGAACGCCCAAGTACTTTTAAAATGTTAATCTCTAAAAGATTCACGTAATTTTTAGCTGTTCTTGTTTACTTAAGCTATTTGTATTATATTTGAATAGAAACTGTGGTAAACGGTGTTGGTGGCAAATTTACTCAATGTTTTCTTTGATTAATATTATGTGTTATTCTGTATTTTGTCACTGTTAGTTTTCCCAAATAAATAAAACAAAAAAAAAAAAAGATATAGTAATTAGTTTAATATTTTACTTAACTTTACATCTTGTTAGCACCGGTGAACTTATCTATGAAAAAGATCTCTTTTAGCCAACCTAATGCCAACCTAGTGAGAGAGTAAGCGATTAGCAAGTAATGTAATGCAGGAAAGTTGTGTACAAGATAATTAATTAGGAATTTCGCGTAAATATAAATACAAATACAAATATAAATAGCAAAAAAACGAATGAAATAAACATACACAAATTGTAAATAAATAAATATAAATATATAAAATGGAGGTACATTTTAATTTATATTATTTAGTTACTATTTATATATAT